CTTTCTCTTCCATTTATTTATTCAATTATGTATTTAACTCTGTGTGGATTCACGGTGATTTATTTTATTCTATGGGTTATAATCCACCACTATTATTATTCATTTTATCATTCAAATAATAGGGGATTGGAGTAGTGAGGAGGAAGAGATAAGAACTCCAAAGGACATAGGAACAGCAGATCAAAGGAGCAGCCACCGGGCGGACAGACCGACCTTGTTGGAGAGGGCGTGGCTCGCTGGATGACAGTAGCTCTCTGAGCTGCCATTTCTAGGTTAACTGTGCCCTAGAGAAAGGGGCTATTCAGCTAGGGTATGTAAGAGCCTTTGTGAGGCCTTTCCGCACTCTCTCCTCCACAGTTGCATTGGCCATGGAGGTCACATATTGAAATATTAGACTGTCCTTCATCCTGGGTTCCTGAGTGACAGCATGGAAAGAGTCTCTGGCCAATCCATGTTGGACACATGAGTGGAAAATCAACCTCCGTTGTATTAATCCACTGATAATTTGAGGTTAGTTTGTTACTGCAACATAACCTAGTCCATCCTGACTAATACAGTGGTCCCAAGTTTGAGAAACCATGATCTACACATTTCCCTTCATTGTTCTCATAAATTCCTTAGTCTACATCTTTAGAGTGTTCAGGTAGTGATGACACACAGGACGTAGGATTCTGCTGATCAGGGATGAAGCACTGAGCAAGTCACATCTAATCTGCTGATGTCTACAACTGTGAGTTCCCTGAGGGAAGCAAAAGCTAACAAGAACTCAAAGAACAAGTAAGCACTAAGAATGAACCCTTGTTCCCACATGGTCCATTCTCCACTCAGCAGCTGAATGATCTTAAATGTTAAATGGAAATGAAAATTAAGTCATGTCACTTTCCTGCTCCCACTTCTCCAATGGCTTCTCATTCCACTCAAAACAAAACCCAATTTCCAGGGCCGGCCCGGTGGAGCACTGGATAAGTGCGCCGCTTGGGAAGCGCAGCGGCGCTCCCGCCTGAGGGTTCGGATCCCACATACAGACTGGTTCCCGCTCACTGGCTGAGCGAGGCGCGGGGGCAACGCCGAGGGTTGCGATCCCGTTGCCGGTCCCCGGTCCGGTACGGGGGCAACACTGAGGGTTGCGATCCATTGCCGGACACGGAAAAAGACAAAAGACAAAAAAAAAAAAACAATTTCCTACCAACAACAACAATAACAAAAAGGAGACTCCTACCAGGCCCCTACCTGTTCTGGGCTCTCTCTTCTCAAATTCTCTTTCCACCACTCCCTGCCTCCCTTCTGCCAGTAGAGTCACTTTTTCTTGCTATTTCTCTACTATACAAAGTTTGTTTCTACCTGAGGGTATTTGCATCTGTTGGTTTCTCTATCTGCAAAGCTCCCCTCTGGATCTTTGCAAAGTTTGCTCCTTTCTGACCTTCCTTCTGTTACTCCTTTACCCTGTTTCATTTTTCTTTATAATCACTTATCATGTGTATTATATAGTCATAAAATACATATTTATGTGCACATGTTAATTATTCCCCCATTAGACTGTAAGCTGTGAGAGTAGGGCCTATATTTTGCTTGTTCCTTCCCGTATCCCTAATGTCTAGTACAGTGCCTGACACATAATCAGTGCTCAATAAATAGGTGTTGAATGAATGAATGAATGAATGAATGGGTTTATACCATATGGCCTACAGAGCTCCTGGACATACACAATCAATATCACCTCTATGCAAATTCATATTTTCAGCATATGCTCCAGACTTCCACCCCAATTTCTAGGGGGACATCTTCAGATAGTCATTCCACTGTCATCACCAGGTCAACATGTCCCAAACCATCCAGATCAGCTTCTTCTCATGACCTAGACATCTGGTCTCAAACCCTTTTCATTCTCTTTTCTTCACCTTCCACATTCAATCAGCAGCAGCATCTGCTGAAGTCTCACTGTGCAATGTGTCTCACTCCATCTTGACCTTTTCATGGCCCCCTCTCACTCCTTTAAGGCGCGTTCTTCTCACTGCAACCTGAGCATAGAGATGAAAGGACTCAACAAGGTCTTTTAGTCCAGGGTCCTGCCTAGGGCCCAAATCCTTTCTCTAGCTATTCTGACAGTTAGTCATGCTTTGAACTTCTGCTTTGAATACTTTCGGCGACAATGACAGGGTATTAGCTCATTCGACAATTCTTATGGTTAGAAGAGTCAGTGTAATACTGAGCTGAAATGATTTTACACACACACACACACACACACACACACACACACACACACACACACACTAGCTCTTCCTCCTGAAACATGACAGACCTGAAAATGTGTGAAGATGTATCAAATCCTCTGTGATTTCACTGTTCATCCAATTTCCTGTTCTCCCTCCTGGTAGGAGGGTTATACTTCACCTCGTTGAACTCAGACATGGTTGGGTAACTAGCTCTGATCTATGGAAATCGAGAGAAAGTGACATATGTCATTTATGGGCAGAAACTTTGAGAGCCAGTTTGTGATCTCTTTTCCCTCCACCATGAGACAAGCCAAGTTCCAGAGTGAAGAAGACATGGAGCAGAGCCCCAGCCGAGCTGCAAGAGACCTATAGTATGAGCAAGGTGACTTGAAATTTCTTGAAATGACTGAAATTTGGAGGTTGGTTGTGACCACAGCATAATCTAGCCCATCCTAAGTTAGTCTTTTTTCCCTAACTCCTTTGATCATTCTTCACAAGTCACAAGACACAATCTCAGCCCCTCACCATTCTGAATCTCTGGATTTCACTCACTTTTGTCATTATCTCCCTTAAAACGTGGAGCCCAAATCTGAAGCCGGTACCCCAGGTGCAATCACACTAGGACACAACGGAATGGATGTCTGAGCCCTTTGACTCCTCTGATTAGAGCCTGGAGTTGCTTTGGTGTTTATTTCTTTGTGCGTGTTTTTTATCATTGGCTGTGTCATGCTGTTAACTCACGTTGAGCTTCTGAACCAATACCTAGAGCCCAAAGCCCCCCTGACCTCTCAACATTTCGTCGAGGAACTGATTTCTGGACCCTCCCTCGAGTAGACAGAGCAGCTGTTTTTACAACTGTTAACGTCATCTGTTTTAGTGGCAGAGCCCTTTCTAGAAAACAGATGTTCTGTCTTCTGGCCCCGACCGTGCTGCTAAGCGTCGTCTCGCGTGCTGGGCGAAGGCTGCAAAGTTGCAGCACCGGCACGACGAGGCGCACGGTACAACCAGCCGCCACGACCTCCCCGGTAGCCTGCGCTGCAGAATCCGGGAAAGCTCCCATGGCGCGGGGCTCCGGCGGCGGGGGTGTCGTATAACTTCGT